GTTGACACGAGGTCGAATTTTCCTCTGTGCATTCCTTGGCCACGACAGAGTTATGAAGAAAACTTGGAGCGTCTGAACGGCGATTCTCACTATCACCAGCGCTCATGTCCAAAAGCAGTGAAAAAACAAAAACGCAGAGTGATTTGCCCTCTCCACCTAAGCGTTAAATAATGGCCTTTGGGCTAGGCAGTTGAACTGGTAGAGAGGTTCTGCCTGGACAGATCTATCTCACCAGCGTATCTATGCGCAGACACTATCGCTCCTCAGTAACATCAGCAAATTGTGCGTGAAACATTTCTGTGTTCACATAACACTTCATTAATATCCGTTTTAAACTGTTGAAATGAAATTCAAAGAGGAACATCAATTAATCAACTGACTTATGTAGCGTGCATATGATCTGCTCCAGTTCCTCTCTCAGCTTGTCAACCGTCATCGTCGATTCCACAATTTAGATCCTATTCTCGAATCTCTCTTCATCCCTCTATAAAACTGAACTGTTGCGATTNTCGATTCCACAATTTAGATCCTATTCTCGAATCTCTCTTCATCCCTCTATAAAACTGAACTGTTGCGATTGTGCTGAGAATGAATTGTTGCTGAAGCAGGCAAGCGCATCTGAAAGATTCTAAAAGATTTGCACTACTTCCACAGGTTATTTCCGATGGGGACGATGCGGGAAGATGATGGTCACAAAGACGGGCAAAAATCACTTTATTTTATGTGCCCGTTTCTGTGCCACGTATGTGTACTACATATTAGAAACATCTACATTTCTACAGTATATAAAACATGGTGTTGATAATGGTTACTAATGTGATTGGAATCGATTCAGTGTGCGTATTATATCTATCTGGTTGGGGTCTATCGGTTACGTGATTAGTCTAGTTTGTTCAGCTTTCAGATGTGGTTATTAGATAGGTATTATTTCATTTTTTGTCAGTGATTATGATGAAATTTTACGTTTCATTTCATTTCAGTCGTAAAATATCATAAATTTGCCAAGTTATTATATACTAATTATGTGCATGTGAATAGGCGATTTTTGATCCGATATGAAAGTTTTCAATATCATTAAAATTTTTGATATTTTTGTGATCGGTTGATTTTTTTTGTAAAAATTTGGTTTAACGAGCGTATTGACTGTTGAAATAGAATTTAGAGAGGAACATGCAGTAAATGAATTAACAAACTGATTTATATACTGCATGTATAATCTGGATATTTCTGTGTTGTATTCAATCCGGAATATATTCACATTTGGCTCTGATGAATGATTGTAACTTATAAAGACAGACGTGAGACATAAGGCTCGTGGCTAGACGAACACCTGACTGTTTATGCTGTTGTTAGTGAAAGAATGAAGATGTTTAATTTAATCCCCTACATTTCCAATCACTGACAAATGAAAATATTAAAGATTTTCCATATTTCCTCAGGTTCTCCTGAATTTACTCACTTTTAATGTTTTATACCGTTTCATCTTCTATAATACTTGTTCAATGGCTTGCTCACGCACATTTTCGCAAGTTATTCGACTATAAATATTATATTTCCATCCGTCGAATGATGATAAGGAGACATGGCTGTCTGTTAATATGAAAACAAGTGCTCAGCAATAATGAGGTGAAGACAAGTGCATTCAATAGTGATTAATATTAATTTTTGTATGTCAACTTGTTATTTGTATTCATCACCCAAAAGTCGTTCATCCGTGCATCCATCNCATCCATCTATTAGTCCGAACTAATAAATTTTTCTATCTGCATAATACCTATCTATGATTCGTTACTATGGATACAGTCAAATTATAATAAAATCATCAACTTACTTTGTGTCAGATGTATTTCATTCTTTCATATTCATATGTACATATGAATATATATCTATCGTTTATACGTTTCGCATAGATACTCTTTCAGTGGGATTGTTTAAATGAATAATTATAACATGGTGATGTCTATGAATGGTATTGCATGATTTCACAATATGATTAGTTTTGGCTTTATTCATATTTTAGAAAGATGGATGAGATGAATATATTACATTCATTGATATTTGTGTATGCGACTATAATAAAATACAGATATGGATGGATATAGGTGTGTGCAATATCAACTATTTGTGCTGTGTAGTCAAATTGGTGAGTTATTTAGTCAACGAGTTGCCATGTTGATGGCGGATATTGGATTGCTATTTCAGTGTGCATTTCAGATGGTTTTGATGATCAGATATTAAGTTTTACTTTGCATTAATCTAGTCTTAGTTTATTGTTTAATAAATCTTTTATTGAGTAGTTTGAAGAGAGTCGTTGTTAGGCAGTAAGTAACTTATCAGTTACTTCAAAGAGTGTTTAATAGGAAGGTGATATTGAGGTATTGTTTCGTTAATGTATACTATTATCTCGATCAATTTTATTGATTACGAAGTTATTTTTTGTCACGATACGTTATGCCATGCAGTTTGCTGTTTTTTTCGTTTGTTTAGTGATATGCAATGATAAGTTGCAATATTATGTTCTTGTAAGGCACTGCTGTGATAAAATGTGTGATTGTTT